ACATCTGCCAGTTCCTTGAGAACTCTGGGATGTAATCCATCTGGTCCTGGCGATTTGAACTCATCTAGGCTGGACAGGTGCTCACTAACCATTTTCTTGCCTATCTTAATTTGTGTTTCTGTTTTGTTTTTTATGGCACTATTTTTGATAGGTTGGTCTGTTTTTTCCCTTTGTGTAAAGACAGATGCAAAAAATGAGTTAAATAGTTCTGCTTTCTCCCTGTTGCTTGTCACCTTCTTGCCACTTCCACCCACTAATGGACCAATCATTTCCTTCACTTTTTTCTTGTTTTTTACATGTTGAAAGAAGCTTTTTTTGTTATTTTTGACTTTGGTCGCAAGCCTTAGTTCATTTTGAGCCTTGGCTTTCTTCACTTCATCTTTGCAGGCTCGGGCTATTTGCTGATATTCTGACTTAGTTATGTTCCCCTCTTTCCACTTTCTATACTTGTCCTTTTTATCTTTCAATTTGTCAGAGAGTTCTTTATGCAGCCATGCTGGTTTCTTTTGAGAGCTGTTGTTTTTCCTCTTTGTTGGTATTGTGCTAGACTGTGCTTTTATTATCTCATTTTTCAAAATTTCCCAAGCTTCTTGAGTTGTTTTCCCCTTGAGGATTCTCATCCATGGAATCCTTCCCAAGCCCTCTCTAAGTTTATTGAAATTAGCTCTCTTGAAGTCCAAGACTCTAGTTTGACTGTGTTCTATTGCTTGTGCTTCTATAATGTTGAATTCTAATATTGCATGATCACTTCCTCCCAGGGTTCCTATGGCTTCAACACCGTCTATCATTTCATCTCTGTTAGTGAGAATTAGATCCAAAATGGCTAATCCCCTAGTTCCCTTCTCTACTTTTTGGGAGACAAAGTTGTCTGCTAGGTTTGCCAGGAACCTGTTTGATCTTCCACTTGGTGCGGAGTTTGTCTCCCAGTTGATGTCAGGGTAGTTAAAGTCCCCCATTACTATTGTGATGTGCTTCCTACATACCTTAGTTAGCTGACTAGCAAAAAGTTCATCTATTTCCTCTGTTTGGTTGGGTGGTCTGTAGTATACACCTATGGCAATGTCATTTCCCCTCCCTTTTATATTGACCCAAATGCATTCAAGACAGTTTTTATCATTGTTGTGCTCTATTTCTGTGGAGATGTAGTTATTTCTTATATAGAGAGCAACTCCACCTCCTCTTTTATTTGGTCTGTTTCTTTTGAATAATTTAAATCCCTCTAGCTGTGTGTTCTATGTGTGGGTTTCATCCCACCATGTTTCCGTAATGGCAACAATATCGTATCTGCCCTCATTAACCTGAATTTCTAGTTCACCCTGTTTGCTGTTCATACTCTGTGCATTGGTGTATAAACATTTGAGTCCTTTGTGAGTGGCCCTGTGTTTCCTTTCTACATAACCTGTGTGGTGCCTGAGTTCCCCTATTGTCTTACCACCTATTTGGTTAGTGCACTTTATGTGGCACTCGCTATTAGAGGCTTCATTTTGCTTGATAGCAAGGTTGGTATTCTTGTCCACACACACATCTATGCTACATGCACTGATAGCCCTATAGTTTTTAAATTGCCGGGGACAGGGTTGTTCCGTGTCAATTAACTCCCTGTCCCCGCTGTTTAGTTTAAATTTCCCTCCAGAAAATCTGTGAATTTATAGCCGAGTAACTCAGTCCCTTTTTTTGATGGATGCAAACCATCTCTTTTGTACATCTTTTGATTGGACCAGCTACTGACATCGTGACTAATATATCCAAAGCCTTCCCCTTTACACCACTCCTTTAGCCACATATTGAATTGTGCTATGCGCTGGCCTTTTCCGTTTTGCTCCTTATACACTGGTAAGACCTCTGAGAAAGTAAGCCTACAGCCTATTCTGCTAAGTTCCTTCCCCAAGCTCTGGAAATCATTCTGCACAGAGAGTACATCTTTTTGGGATAGATCATTAGTGCCAAGATGTACAATAGCCTCCACATCCAAGTCCTTGCTGCCATTCTTGATTATTTTAGAAATACGCTTCTTGTCCCTACTGGCAGTAGCACCTGGAAGACACCTGACCTGTTTCAAAGCCTCTGTGTCCTTCCCTAAATTTACATCCCTTATAATTGAATCACCTACCAGAAGGTAGCTTCTCTTTTTGGGAGCCTTTCTATTCTTTCATGACTGATGTGCAATACCTGATTCACACTTCTCCCTGTCAGAATCTAGTTCTTATATAAGTCTAAGGGCTATGGCTATTGTTAGAAGAATAATAGCATAACCTCATTTCATGGAAATGAAACCAATTTCATTGACAAAACGATTGGCACAGGCCTGCCAAGTGCTAATCTAAAGCCAATTCAGCTACTCTTGCTGGAAAAAAGGACGGGGAAAAATATCACTGCAGCTTGGTGTAGACTAGAGTCTAAAACTGCTATCTTGTTTCTTAAAAAAATTGTTAGGAAACATTGTTGTTTCTCTTTTCTCAGAGCTTATGAGATTTTGTTTGTATTTGTTTTAATGTGCACCTAGTCTGTTATTATATCATGTGTTGTATTAGATTCGTTGCATTATTTATATTAGATAGGTTTAGTTTGCCATTTTTAATGTTCATTTATCATTTTTGTTCCTTTTTTTAGAGATTTAAAGGGTTTTAAAAAATATTTTAAGGTTTTTATGCAATTTAATTTTTGTATTTTTAATGCTTTTAAATTCCTTACACCCCACCCTTGTTATGCTGGTCTTTGACCATAATTAAGGGTGATAGTAATTAGTTTCTCCTGGTTCCGAGCTTTTTTATTTTGTATGGTGTTCATTAATGCTGTTTATATTCCTGTGTAAGCCAGGTAAAGGCTTCATAGGAAGATATCTTCACTGGGCTTCAGTGGAAGCATGGGAAGCTATTCATGGGAGAACTGATACTTGCTATTGGTTGCTTGAACTCAGATGCTTTGTAATTAAGGTTAGTACATCCTTATTATGGGTGTCACCTGTGAACATTTATTTTCATTCATTTTTTGTTTTGTTTTTGGAAAGCACTTTTTCCCCTCCAAAGACATGGGAGAACAATGGATGGTTCTCTAGATATTGCTGAACTACAACTCCTGATAGTCCCTACCAACATGGTCAACTTGAGCATGGTGGGAATCAGGATTTCAGTAGCACCTGCAAGGTCACACATTATGAAGTCATATAATAATGGGCTGGTAACTCTGGAGTAACCAACAGAAGATCGATATCAGCTGTTATTGAGAATGTTATTGGGAATGAATGAAAAGTCTATTCTGGCCAGATTTTGTATTTATTGGTGATTTTTAAAAAGATTCCTAATAAATAGTATAAGAACTCCTGCCTTGGGCAGGGGATTGAACTAGAAGACCATCAAGATCCCTTCAGCCCTATGATTCTATGAAATATGAAGGCAGTGTAAAGCTTTAGTAGAGTGCTTTACTGTATTCTGAAGATATTCTACCAAGCAATACAGTTCCCCAAATTCAAAGAATAAAGCAAATCTGTCATATCACGTTATGTTTCTCCTGGGACCTTTTCTGGATCTGTAGTAGACAGAAAAGGTTTCGGTTGGAGAATGCACTCCAAAGTGAATTCCTGAGAAAAAACATCACATCATCAGTGCACCTCCACAAGGCACACAGTGTCACCATTGCAATACAAAACCTCTACAGAACTGAGACTAGCAAACCCAAATTTTGAATACATTGTCATGAAACATAGCTTGAAAAGTATCCTTTAATTCAAAGTCCATATTGCTGAGTCCACTATTTATAGATTTTTCTTTGGAATGTTTTCCCTCGCAAAATCAGAGAAATGTATAATCCAAAAGATGATTTCCTTTCTCACTACATTTATACTTCATCTCTATTTTATACAATTCAGGGTGGTGTACTTAATACTTCTGCTACCTATTTTCCCACAAAAAAATCTGTGAAGTGGACTGGGCTGAGAAAGAGTAACTGGCCCAAAGTCACTCAACTGGTTTTCATGCTAAGAAAGGACTAGAATTGAGTGTTCGGGTTGCTAGACCACCAACTTCCCCACTATGTGAAACTATCTGTCTTAAAAGTCATTTTATCTCCAACAGTCCATTAGATCATAAAATAAAGGCAGGGCAGATTATCAAGGTTTTCCTCAAATACCTTTTTGTAGAAGCTTTAGGAAGTGAATGAAAGACTCTACAAGTAATAATAGCAAAACCCAATTTCATAGAAATGAAATCAATTTAATTGATAAAAATATTTTTTTTAAAGTCCTGGTAGCAAATGCAGAGTTGCTGATGGGCCCCAATATAATAAGGAGAAAGAGATCTAAGGAAACTAGACATGAAATCTTGTGTAAGGATGAATAATACTTTATAGAAGTTACTGTAGAATAAAATTACATATGGTTTTTTTTATAGTATGTAACTTTCAACAAAGCCTAAAATGTATAATTAGATTAACAAAATGTTAGTAGGTGGATTAAAACGTGATAAATAATATTGGCAATTCAAACAAGTTTACTTACATAGAAGATCTACAAGAACCACTGGCCTTGTTGGCTGAGGCTGATAGGAAATATAGTGAATCAATAGACAGAGGGCAACGGTTCCTTTAGTTCTGAGATGCAACCAACATTAAATCAGAGAAGATTATAATGGCACAGTTGGGAAAGATGGATTCCATTCGCACACACACAAACACAAACATGCCACATATGTTATTTCACTCTCCCTATTCTAGACCCCAAAATGGAAGTCACAATTTTCATTAGAGGACCAGAAAAGAATGTAGAAGGATGATTGTTGATTCACATTAATTCACCCCATTATTAGACACCCCATTATTAAAATGTTGGGAAAAAGACATTGGAGTTAATTTTAAAAATTAATCCAATGGTGAAAAAAATCAAATTACTATAACCTTTAAATGTATTATAACACTTCCTTGCTGATGCCTCTGTGATTTATCTGTAGTTATATATGACAAACATTTTCTGGAGATTTAATAGAGTTCCATCATAGGATGCTACTTACTTTTTTTGGCTTCTTCAAGCTTATCTTTGGCCCGTTTTTCTGCCTGGAGAAGTTGCTGTATTCCCTGAGACTGGCTAGTCATTTTGCCTCCTTGAGTTCAGAAAATGCCTATGGGAACTACAAAGGAGGAAGAAGGCTTTATGGCGTGACACCATATTTATTCAATGCTTCTTCTGTTGTGTCAATAATCAAACCATAAACTTTGCTCTATCCGTTTCAGGATGAAGCCAGATTAAAACCATGGAAGAAAACAAAAAGCAGGTGCAAAGAAGTGGATCAACTGGTTTGAGGGAGTTTCCCCCCCCCACTATAGCTGCCCTCTTCAACATGGCTTATATGCAACCATCAACATAAAATCTTTGCCAGCTCTGTTTGACAGTGATATTTATGCAAGGTTTAGATTAAAAATATCAAGGTAGCAGCATGATTTGAGTAAAGTAAAACTCAGAAAGCACCTGGGTTTTTTCCCCCTTAATGCTTGCTTGCATTGCAGATCTTTTCCTGTGCAGTAGCTGCCATTAGCACAGGCATATCAATCATTGCTATTATATCCCCCACTTCTTTGTTTAATATTGCAGGCATGAGCACATAGGCATGTCAAGATCTCCAAGGTGACTACCATTACTGGGATTAAAAGTCAGGATATATGGATCATGTGATGACATGGTTTCCATTTCAGTATTTTGTATTGTTTGTGCATATTTTTATTTTTCAATTATACATATATGGATTTATATTTAATTTATACCCTTGATTTCTATTCTTGAAACAAGAATAATACAGAAATGATCAACAGTCATTTTTAAAAAGATAAACGTGGTTTTCCAAAAGTGCATTAAAGCACACAACTATATGTAAATATTATGCATTGAGACATTTTTGTTTTGTTTTTTGAAGGTCATAGTCAATAGAATTACACATAGCTAGGACTAGTCCAGGAATTCTGGGAGTTGAAGTCCATGAGTCATAAAAGAGCCGAGGTTGCCTACCCCTGGACTAGTCCAATGTGGAGTGATTGTCCCTCTTCTCCTCTCCCCTGCCCTCATTTACTGGGTCTTCTGCTGCCTGATCGCTCTTAAGGATTAGCCTGTGAAGAAGGCCTCAATAAATAAAGTTGTTCATAACTTTGTCTCTCCTTATAATGAATACCATTAGATTTTGATCAATGTTCTTCAGACTGAAGCAATATATAATTACCATCCTGGCATGGGATGGCTTGAGACCCCTGAGTCACTTTGGTGCTGAAGTAGATGCTGAAGTCATAGTGGAAGAAAGAAAAAGTATATAGTATTTTATCCATTGAGCTCCTCTCCGCTGTCTTTGGGCATATCCAGACATAGCAGAGATTGTGCTGTTAAGGTGTCAGTCTGAATCATATATATATAAAAAGAAGGGCTTTGATTCCATTATTTCATTCAACAACAAGATTTTTTTTTTACTCTTCTCCCATAGATGTCCCTGATAGTATAGTTTCCTTCTTTTGGCAGGATAGTTGTAATGTAGGGACTCACTTAGGGAACTGCAAAGTAGTAGGTAGGGAGCTATGTATTGCTTATCCTGATGGATAGAAGCATTTCAGAATATTCAGTTAAAGAAATAAATTAGAATATGAAAAATATCTGCAGACAAGATTTTTGTACAGCTTCTTCTTCATTGTTTCACCTTTTGGAGTAGAATGTGTCAGTGTAAACTTTTATGTCAAGAATTGGCAACTTAACATAGTGACCTGGTTCTTGTGGTTCACAAGATGTGTGAGAGAACAGACATCAAGATCTATTTTGTCTACTTTTATCTAATTGAACATTCCTTCCTTCCTTCCTTCCTTCCTTCCTTCCTTCCTTCCTTCCTTCCTTCCTTCCTTCCTTCCTACCTACCTACCTACAGTGAAAGGGAGTGTGTAGGATATCTATCTAAAATGCTAAAACTGCTTTTATTTATTGGATTTTTTTTACCTAGACTTTATTACTTTACAAGTAACTCAAAGCAGCGAATATACCTAATATTCTTTCTTTCTCCTATTTTCTCTACAACAACAATTCTGATATCTAAATGGGGCTGAAACAACGTGACTGGCCCAGAATCAGCCAGCTGGCTTTCATACATAAGGCAGGATTAGAATTCACAGCCTCCTGGTTTCTAGCCTGGTGCCTTAGCTACTAGGCCAAACTGGCATTGTTTAGCTACATAGGTGTTTCTTGACACTTACCCTGGGAACCAAAAATGCAAAGCAGCAAAAGAAAGTGAATTGAAACAATCTGTTTTCATTTGTCTACCAACCAATGGGCTTACTTTCCAGATATAAACCTAGCAGCCCAGCCAAGGCTCCATCTACCCCTCCCCCCCCAAACACACACCTCACTCCCGCTACCTGGAATCTCCCCTCTAACTAGTTTATCAGTACAGCTCCCCATTCTAAAGTCTGGCTTCTCACAATTGCAGAAATTTCTCCCTCACACAGAAGGCACCTACAGAAAAACATCTTTTTAACCGCTTCCTATTCAGAATGCACGAAACATGACAGATGCACTGTGTGACCTGCTTTTGCAGCCCAGCTGCTCCACCCCAGGTACAAATGGGTCTTGAACAATTGTGGTGTCGAACTGCAGCATTCTGCCAGAGGTTCTCTTACCCTTCAAAGAGTATTATCTTCGGAAGAGGATTTCAAAGGCCAAATAATAGACTCCATTCTGATCAAGGTACCATGCATTTTTCACTCTCTTCCTTATCATGTAAGGGTAGAACACAGGAAGAAGATTGGTGGTACAGTACTATTCCAATCAGAAGAAGAGATTTAAAAAAAAATGTTTCTTTGGCTTCTTAAGAGTTAATAGGCTGTTGGTTTTCCTGTCCTTTGTCCAATTCTAAAAATGTCCCCTGTTAGAACTGGTTGCCAAGCATGGAACTATTTCATTATTGCTGAAACTGGCAATGTGCTAAGGAGCAGATGCACCATTTGCTTTGCCATTCATACCATTTGCCTTCAAATGCATGCATGCGCACACGGACCTCACACAAATATAGAGTATCCCTCCCCCCCACATTATGCTTTGTTTACATGGACAAGTAATCAAATAAGCATTTCAGCTTGTGGCAAACCGGAATTGCTTCCTATCATGGCTTTATGCAAATGGGATCTCAGTGAATTCTATCTGTGAGCATCATATGGCAGCCTGCCATTGCCCAAAAGAAGTAGACTTCCCAATTAGCAGCAGATTGACTTTATTATAGTTTCTATAGATGAGAAACTGGATTATTAATCTGTTGTTGGCCTGACAAACTAGCAACGAGAACTTCATTATCTTACATTTTTTGGAGAAAAGTATAAAGCCAAACCGCCCCCCCCCCCACAAAAAAGATTTACAAATAAACACAATTTTGTTGCTGGTCCAGTGGTAGGAAAGCTACTTTCTTTATTAACGAAACTTAGGAACCTTTGCAAAGACAAAAGGATGAATTTCATCTTTCATCTTCATTCAATTCTTGGCAAGCAGATTGAAAACCCCTGTAGCTGTGAATGACAAGATGGGGGAAAAAATGACACAGATGGATAATGGGTATCACTAAGTAAACAATGGCATTAGGATATGTCTAAACCACTGAGTAAAATTTGGGGCCTCTTCCTGGAGATTGAAGTAGCTGGATTTAGTATATGCTGCTCACACTCTTTAGGGAGGTCAGAAAACCACCACCACCACCACCACCATCACTACAAAGCTCAGCTAATACAAGAAAAAGTGCAAATGGCACTTTTCAATGAAAATAAAAAGTTATTTGTTCCTAAAAAAACACTGATCCTGGTTATCAGTAGTTGCCATTGTTCCAATCACTTCCTTCAGTTTAGCTAGTTTTTTTTTTAAAAAAAATATGGAATTAACCCAGAGACTAAAAGAGTACATTTTTTATTTCCTAACCTGCATAGGCACTCTTTAGTTGCACTCTAACAAAAGACTTAATCTGGACTTACACCATTTTACACGCAAATTTTACACGCAAATAACTAAAATTGGCTAGATTTGCACAATACATGAAGTCACCCAAAAGGAAAAAAGAATCAAGATTAGATGTAACCAAAGTTAATAGGGCAGGACAGAACCCATAGGAAGGGTGATGGGTTCAAATGCCCTTTTTAAGAAGGACTCTGGATAACCTGCCTCTAACTTCTATTCCTTGGAACAGAGGCTGTGTAATTCTTTTTTTTTTTATTGAAAATTTTTAAAAGTTTTTACAAAAAACAAAAAAGACAACAACAACAAAAAAAACAAAACAACCCTCACCCAACCCCTCCCAAACTGTGTAATTCTTATTACTACCAGCTAACTTCTAACTTCTACCAGGTGGGATTCAGCCAGTTCGTACCACTTCGGCAGAACTGGTAGCTAATTTTTTGTTGCCCAGGCCCAGAATGGACTTCTGGAAGCGGCATCCACAAAGAGAACTGGTTGTTCACATATTTGAATCTCACCACTGCACATAACTACTACTTCTAACCTTCTCTTTCTGCTAACTGTGGCACACAAGGGGTCATCCACATCCTGTGGGGTTTTTTTTCAATTACTAGGTCAAATTCTAAGACAAAAAGTGTTACAGGGCTATTTTCCAGCAATATAGCATTGAGGCAAGGGACTATAAGTATCATTTTCTTTCTTCCATGGAGATAAAACTTAATTAAGAAAATAATTTTTATAAATCAAATGTAAAACCCTTATTTCCTTTTAAATATGAAAATGCAAAAGGTTAAGGAAAAAAATAGCTTCCTGCGCTGGGCAACGTATAACTAGCACCTTGTTTTTATTAAAACAAAGCTAAAAATGTAAAATAAATCATACTTAGAACACAAATAAATCGACTCAGAACACAAATCACTAATTTTACTGCTTTGTGTGGGTTTCACAAGGCTTCAGCTTATCATGGCATAACAGTGAGATAAAATCTGTAAAACTCCAGAACATAATCCAACTACCCTGGCTAGGATAGGCCATATTACAACTAATACAAAGAGATAAACATAATAAAGAATAAAAAAATTAATACACACAGAAAACATTCAAAAGATCTTATTGCAAACTTCTGACAAAGTATTTCTATCTCTAGTGAAATAGCCCAAATTCTTGAAACAGGCGTTCTCACTAATTCGCTTTTACCTGG